AGTGGTCTCTGAACCCTCAGACGGTCAGTCTGATATGGGAGAGATTCGGCGAGGCCGAAATCGACCTTTTCGCCTCGAGAGCCAACACCCACTGCAGGGTGTTTTTCTCGAAGAACGGGGACGCGCTGGCCCATCCCTGGCCCAACCGCCCCCTTTATGCTTTCCCCCCCATCTCGATGGTCCCACAAGTCATCGAACGGGTCAGGGAGAGCGGATGCCCAGTCCTTCTGGTGGCTCCTCTCTGGAAATCCAGACCATGGTTTCCGGAGCTGGTTCAGCTGTCAGACACGGTCCCCTGGCCCGTTCCAATGAGGAGGGACCTCCTCACACAGGCCAAAGGGACGATATGGCACCCCCGACCCGATTTATGGGCCCTCCATGTGTGGCCCCTAAACGGGTACCCGGGGGCCTTCCTGACAAGGTCTTAGGCACTATCTCTGAAGCAAGGGCCCCGTCTACTAGGCGTCTGTATGCTTTGAAGTGGTCGGGTTTTTCCAGCTGGTGCTCGAAAAATCGAGTTGACCCAGAGTCATGTGAGGTATCGGTGGTACTCTCCTTCCTGCAGGAGCTACTGGACGCGGGCCGCACCCCGTCCACGCTCAAAGTTTATGTGGCAGCCATCGCAGCGCATCATGCGTTGGTGGCTGGTCAATCACTGGGAAGAAATGACCTGGTAGTAAGATTTTTGAAGGGCGCTAGGAGAATTAACCCCTCCAGGCCCCCATCAGTACCTCCCTGGGACCTCTCCACGGTCCTCAGGGCCCTGAAGGGGCCGCCTTTTGAACCGCTCCGGTCGGTGGGTCTAAAACCACTCTCGCTCAAGACTGCTCTCCTGTTGGCATTGGCATCTATCAAGCGAGTGGGAGATCTGCAGGCCCTTTCTGTGAGTCCGGCATGTTTGGAGTTTGGAGCGGATGACTCCAGAGTCATTCTCAAACCCAGGCATGGTTACGTACCCAAGGTGCTCTCAACGCCGTTTAGAGCGCAAGTTATCACGCTATTAGCCCTTCCCCCTTCTGCCGAGGATGGGGAGGTTAATCTTCTCTGCCCTGTCAGGGCGCTGAGAGTCTATCTGGAGCGTTCTGCGTCTTTTAGACAGTCAGAACAGCTGTTTGTCTGCTTTGGTGGCCGATCTAAGGGTGGTCCAGTTACCAAACAAAGACTGTCTAGATGGATAGTGGATGCCATTTCTATGGCTTATACTTCAGTGGGTCAGGTTTGCCCTATAGGTGTCAGGGCCCATTCGACTAGAGGCATGGCCTCGTCATGGGCTTGGTCATCTGGGTTTCCCATTCAAGATATTTGTGAGGCGGCCGGCTGGTCCTCGCCTTCCACATTTATGAAGTTCTATAATAATAGGTGCCTTCCCTGCAGGCGAAGGTTCTTTCAGTATGATTAAGACTCGATGCTGTCTGGTCTTGTCTACAAAAAATTACTGTGCATAATCACATACATACATATATAAAACCCGCTTAGGCTGGTTATGAATTGTACTAATAATCCTGACAGTGTCGGGGTTTGTTAGTATATTCTGTTGGTTGTTACTGACTCTTATATATTATTCAGGCCTGACAGTGTCTGGTCTGTTATATATATATATTCTTATATTGGGTTCTGGCTTGTTCTGTTAGCTCAGGGGGCCTGAGTTGCAGTGCAACCAGTTACTAAGGGTGCGGCGTTTTACAGGGCGTCCCCACTGCGTATAGCTACGCAATACGAAGTGACCGTTCGAAAGGGAACTACTCGGTTACTATCGTAACCTCAGTTCCCTGAGAGAGGGAACGAGTATTGCGTAGCCGGCCGCACTTAGTAACGGGTGAAGTTGTCGCTTCAGTCGTATAAACCTGCTATAATGGCGAATTCGGGGGTCTTTTATAGGCTAAACCACACCCCCTTGACGGGCTCTGACGTTGAGCTAGCTCATTGGCTGTATGTCAGAGTCGCCCGCGCCATTGGTTGTGCAGTTGCGGCAGCACAGACAATGAGCGTGCCAGACGCTCAGTGTGCTAGCTGTGCAGCTGCAAATGCGTTTTACATATAGGTTTCAGTAAATCGAGGAAAAGGAGTTTCCCCACTGCGTATAGCTACGCAATACTCGTTCCCTCTCTCAGGGAACTGAGGTTACGATAGTAACCGAGTAGTTATCTCGTATATGCTTGCCCGTTGTACCATTCCTTCACACCTTGTCAGTTGGATCTGAGGTTTCTCTTTCTCTATGATTACTTAAGTGGAATACAATGTCTTTCTGCTACATTTCGCTGGAGGAAATCTCTCGCCATAATCACACGTCAGGTACAATGAAGTAAATGTAAGAACAAAATATGAAATAAATAAAAAAATCCATTAATAATAATAATGGTTAGTGACCATTGTATTATATTTATATACTATTGACCATTTAAAGAGAAAGCAATTCGACATTCAAAATCAGCACAATACAGTGAATTATTTGCAATCTGGGACACTGCATCTGTAGTTTACTGGCTCATGATGAAAGCTAGAATAAGATCATATTGACATGAGCTGCTTGTGATGGAGCAAGACATGAACACATCAGAGATTTGGTGTGCCACATTAGCCACTGTCACGTATTACCCAGTTCACCCCACTGATGTTATACGTTTATTAAAGAAAGCAATACATTTTTTTGACAGTTTTCTTTTATTAATTTCAATTTGTGATTTTTTATGTTGTATAAAATTGTGAAATTAAATTGATACAAGTTTAAATAAAAATAAAGTAGCAGACGGTTTTAAAAGATAGGAACCTCAAACAGAAATGTTATGATAAAAATAAGAATGATTCCATAAAAACATGATATGGGATGAAACCTATTTCTCACAAACCCCTTTCATCTTCATGAGAGATCTGTCACAGACACACCCCAACCGGCGTCAACTAGGCACACCTGGTCACGCTCATCATCCCCTGTATACTGATTACTCACCACCTGCACCGCATCACGAACTCGCACACATGATTTAAGCCTTATTCCCTGTCCACACGGACACGGGAATTTTTATAACCGTGACTTTTTTTTACGCGGTTCGTCCACACGAAAACGCACTGAAACTGAACATTTTTGAAAACCCCTGCCAGGGTGAGGATTTTCAGAAACGCCGGTTACAGTGTTGTGTAGACAGTGAAAGGTTTTTTACGGTTAAAGGTTATATCGCCGCCTGCTGGCGTGGCATGCTCTTGATCGCGCTTGATAGCGTGTTTTTACGTTTTCATGTAGACGGAGACCGAGCATGTGTGGACGGGATTTGCTGTAGGAAAAACTTCCAGGTTATAAAAATAGCCGCGTACGTGTGGACAAGGCCTCAGTCTCGTCTATTGATGCGTGTGACTCACCCGGTTCCTCATACTTCTCTGGTTCCAGGATTCCCGTGTTCTCGCAGCAAGTGTACTCAAGTTTATCCCTAGTCTTGGTCAGAAGCTAAAAGTAAATCATTTGTAATTTTAACTAGCGCAGTTTCTGTGCTATGATGCGGTCTGAATCCTGACTGAAAATTTTCATAGATATCTGCAAGAAAGAGCACAAATGAGCGGACACAACTTTTTCTAGTATTTTTGACATGAATGGAAGATTTGAAATGGGTCTGTAATTTGTTAAGTTATTTGGATCTAATTGCGGTTTCTTAAAGGTTTTATTACTGCCAGCTTGAATATTCTTGGAACATGACCTAAAAATAAAGACGAGTCAATAATATTGAGAGGCTCTTCCACTACAGGTAACACTTCTTTCAGTAGTTTAGTGGGTATTGGATCTAATAAACATGTTGTTGGTTTAGATGCAATGATAAGTTTATTTAGCTCTTCCTGTCCTATAGTTGTAAAGCGTACTTGTTCTTGAGGGGCGATAATTGAGGCTGAATCATAAGACACCATAAAAGATAGTTTACAATTGTGTTTCTGATGCTTTCTATTTTCTCAGTGAAGAAATTCATAAAATCATTACAGCTATACGGTAACGGAATATTTTGTTCAGGTGATGTCTGTTTATTTGTTAGTCTAGCAATGGTGTTAAATAAGAACCTTGGATTATTTTGGTTGTTTTCTATTAGTTTGCGGAGATGCTCTGCCCTGGCTGCCCTGGCTGACCTCTAAATCTCTCCTGGCTGCTTTTAGAGCCTTTTTGTAACGTGACATTCTGTCTTTCCACGTGATTTTAAAGACCTCTAAATTAGTTTGTTTCTATTTACGCTCTAAGTTACGAGTTTCTCTCTTGAACATGCGTAGCTGTATCTCAATACTAGTTCTACTCAATCTTAGTGCTGCGTTCGACACTATAGATCATAAAATACTCTTGGATCGACAACAAAACTACACCGGTGTCCAGGGACAGGCATTAAGCTGGTTCAGATCGTACTTATCGGACCGTTACCATTTTGTCTGTTTAAATGGGGAAAAATCGAAGATAACGTCAGTAGACTATGAAGTGCCGCAAGGATCGGTGTTAGGCCCTCTGCTATTCTCAATATATATGCTGCCACTTGGTAATATTATAAGAAAACATGGAATTAATTTCCACTGTTATGCTGATGACACTCAATTATATATTTCATCACGACCAGATGAAAACACTAACTTATCAAATTTGACAGTGTCTTAAAGATATAAAATGCTGGATGATGCGTAATTTCCTGCTATTCAGATAAAACTGAGGTATTACTTATTGGTCCAAAAAACTGCCCACAAAATCTCTTACAATACAACTTTAATTTAGAAGGATGTCCTGTTACTTTATCCACTACAGTAAAAGACCTGGTTGTTATACTAGACCGCAACTTGTCTTTCGAAAACCATATTTCATATGTTACAAGAACAGCCTTTTTTCAGGATGTTTGAGTTTATTACAGCAATGAGAAAATAATGACAATTTTACATTTTCCTTTTAACAAATTTATATGAAGATCAGATGGCAGCTTTTTTAAAAGACAGAAACCACAATCAGAAATACATTCATTATAAGAATGATTCACTAAAATAATAGAAGCTTATTTCTCACAAATACATTTCTTCCCCATAAAGCACGGCGCATCATTCCAGTTGTTCACAGGGCCTCTTCCAGGATCCACTTCAGTACAGTCCTCATCTCCAAGGTTATTTGGCTCACCGCTATCAAAAAACCTGAATAAAATGTGTCAGAAAATTTTAGTTGTTCAGAACCCCAGATGTTCAATGAAAGTTTTTATCCATTCAGCAAACAACAAATGAGGAGCTTAACAAGCTATTCATCATAAAAGAGCCAACAATATTCACAGCATCACCCCAGCTAACAGGGAACAATCTCATAACATTGGCTAACGTTCTGGCAAAGTTCTCTTAAAGTTATGAACAAACATTCTTCTAGTAACGGTAATAGAGTTTTTCTTCAACAAATACCTGCAATTGCTGGAAGAAATCAAGGAATGTCAAGGTCAAGAGACCAACTAAAGCAAACGCTGATAACGGGGTTAAGATGAAACATTTTCAGCCAAACATCAACATCTAAAACTGGACATATTAACGTTTCCATAACCAAAACAGAATTGAAATAGAATTAAAAAGTATTTAACAAATGCATCCGAAGTGTTTCTCTGTGAGTGTTTTATCACTTACCCTTGTTTCAGTGGTGAATTATCCACCCATTTCATGATCCCCTCAGTCTCAGAATCAGACAAACCAATCCACGCACCAAAAAACATATCCTCCTTGACTAATGCAGTTATGAACCTCTGTGTGTGAATAAAAACAGGAGTAAGTGTGATTCCTCTCAGTGATAAACACACACTCACACAATCTCACCTGCTTCTCTTCAGTGTTGATAATGATCAGATCAGCTCCTCGATCTCTGCAGAACTGCCTGCACTCAGACCAGCTCTTCTCCTCACTGGATATGAAAAACCTGTCCTTTTCTTTCAATAAACAGGAAAAATGTTGCTCATTATTTGTGTTGTAAAGTGCAAATAAACATATAGATCCATTTGTACAAACCTTGTGTAGATAACTTATTTAGTTCAGTCTCTAACTCCAGTTTCTTCTGACTCAAAGAGTTGAAGTTGTTCTTCAGTTGGTCTTTTTCAGTCAATAGATCAGTGTCCTTGTCCTGTAAGCTGTTGATAGTGTGAATGAACTCTTCAACTGTGTTCTTGTAACTGATGTTGATGTACAGTGTGGTGAAGACCAGCAGAAGAACACAAATGAGCCCGAGACACACTGTCGTCCACACCAAACACCTGCTTCCTCCTGACACACAGAGACAACACACACACTATGTTTCAAATCAACCGTTGTAAGTAATCAGGGTTTTGTTAGATAAGATTTATTTTTAATTTTTCTTTTATAATGACACATATCTGGAATTCCTGTTCGCTAAAATGTGGAACATTTCATATAAAACCAGTAACAATTACAGTTTTTATAGAGAAAACAATGATTTAAACTTTACGTAACATTTCTCATCCGCTCAAACATTAGCAACACCGTCTCTGCATCAAAAAAAAACTTTCTGCTTACTTTGCTTTTGATCTTTTCCTTCATCCCCGTAGCAACTCGGTGTCGGAAATCTCCATTTGTTATTAATATCGCTGCTTGGAAAAAAGGGCTTTGAATCCATCACTAGTTCAAACTTACAGTCTTACAGTAAAGTACAGTACAGTCTGTGTTCACAGATGAGGTGTGGTCTGTAAGATGTGAGCTGTGTTTTTAAATAGTACCAATGCAGGAAGTGTTTTTGTTAGATCAGACACAGATAAATCTCTGGATTTCATTTTCACTCTAAAACTCCCTGTATGCTTATACTACTGTATGATTGAACACATATTGTTTATGGCATTATTTTGGAGTCTCGTGTGTGTCACCATGATGGTGTTTTGTAGTTGTGTGTATGACACTGTGCACCTTTAATATATTATTTGAATAGATAGATTTATAGATTTGAATATGTTAGTTAAACTGAATTATTATTTTTATTGGTTAATGACATATAAGGGTTGGCCTGTGAAAACTAAAATCTTGCTACTGTATTTTTTTATGGTAAAGTACTGGGAACCACAGCTGATGTGTTTTACCACATATTTAAGTCCTGCTGATGTTTTTTTGTTTGTTTTTTTGCTGTAATTTTAAGTCCAAAGTAAGGTTGCTACCATCATTTTTACGGTAAAATGCTGGCAACCAAGCTGACATATTTTTTTGTCCATAAATTACACAGTTTTCTTTCTTTTCACATTTTTTTTTTTTTTTTTTTTTTTGTAAATTTAAATCCTGTGAAACATAAAATGTTGGCACCATATTTTTTACGGTAAAATACTGGCAACCACAGCTGTTAAAATAATTTATCGGGAGCATTTATGTTGATGTGTATGGTGGTGACACGTAGGCTAACTTGAAAGTATTTCATGGAGGTATAGAAAAAAAATCTATACTTTAATGTGGGCTTTTGCAGGCGGGAGTGGGACAAAACATGAATGTTGTGGGCGGGAGCGTGAGAAGATAACAAAAACAAATCTGTCCTGCGACGGTCTCTATTTTGAAGCTAAAGTGAAAATTCTTTTTTATCTGCTAAATCTAGTTCATGTCACGTTAGCATCTTTCAAACCTAACATCAAGATAAAAAAAATTCCAAACATGAAACCAAGATAAAAAGAAAAAATTCCAAACATGAAACCAAGATAAAAACATTACAAAGATGACAAGATAAAAAATAGTAGTGCATCATGCTCTTCGGAGGTGTTTTTTTATTGTCTTTGTTAGGTTATTAAAAATTATGTTGCTTTATTTCAAGGATCATACCAATGTATCGGTGGGGTGGTGATGGTGCAGTGGATAAGGCACATGCCTGTGGTGTGAGAGACCTGGATTCGAATCCACTGTGAGACACCAATGTGTCCCTGAGCAAGACACTTAACCCCTAGTTGCTCCAGAGGTGTGTGTCCTCTGACATATATAGCAATTGTAAGGAGACACGGATATATGGCGCCTCCTAGTGGTCTAACCCTAACACTACCCCAGACCTAAAGCTACCCATAACCGAAGCGTGTTATATTGACGCTAAAGGGTGCCATGTGCGTCGGATGTAGACGCTTTGGCAAAAGCGTCAGTATATGACGCCTTGGGATGAGAATGCGTTGGACCTGAACGTTATGTGTCATTGAATCAAAAGGCAGGAAAAAAAAAACGAAAACGAAAAAATAAATAATAATAAAAATAAATTTAAAAAAAGATGTCGGACGATTGTGGAGTTGGAGGAGAAAATGAAATGGAGTTTTTCGCCCTTCCCTGCCTTTTTGAACTAGCCTAGATGCCAGTCGAACAAAAGCTGTTCGGACCAATCAAATTATCAGGGCGGGTTTTATACGATGATGGACAGATGATCAACAGTAACGTAATCATCCACGTCACCAATGAGCGCTTGGGTTGAATTTGTTTACAACACAGAATGGCTGCCTCTGGAGAACTGAGATGTTTCAGCCGCCGCGTCCGTTATGGAAGATGTAGACAGTGCATTCATTTTAAAAGAGGAACCGAGAACCGCGTTCAAGGCATTTGTCAATCCAATTGAGTGTACAGGCATTTTCTTTCCTGGTTCGGTTGAAACGCCCCATAATCACAGCCCAATGGAGCAGATTCAGACTCACATTCTGACTAGAATCTGAGTATGACGACGTCAGGCTATTTTTGAACCGGAGTACACAAACAAATAACTTAGATAGATGACGTACGCGTGACTTTTCCAACGTGATGACGCAATGCGTGGCGCATCTCAGAGTTAAGTGGGTGCATTTGTGGCTAAACATTTGTGTGTGTGTGTGTGTGTGTGTGTGTGTGTGTGTGTATGAGACCCTTATTTCTCGGCTAGGATCGTGTCTAGACTTTGAAGCTGCATTGAGACGGACATCATAATGTTGTACAGAAATGTACAACTTGTAACGACTGGAAATAAGGTGTGGCCCCTTTAAGAGCTGTGCGCTCCCTGTTGAACTGTCGGCAGTATTGTATTGTATGTGCCTTGGGCCTCGAACACCTCTTTTACTGTCTATACGAACACCCCATGTATGCGGGTAATTTCTGTTTGATGCTAATTTTTATCTTATTTTGTTTATTAAATAACGATGTGGACGGTAGAACGTGTGACATACAGTTAGGCTACACGAGTTCGATTTGGGAATAAAATGCGAGTTGTGAGATGCCAATCGCCTCCTTGTGTCTGTCTGGCCTCTGCATGCAATAACTTCAGTTGTGAGCTATCCCTAATCTTCCTGAAGCAACGCGTTACAAACTGTACTTCAGTTTCATTGCCAGGTTGAGGTGACAAACAGGTTGAAATTGTAAATGGTCTGTGGATTGTGTAATATAATGCATTTAATACAATCTGGCAACTGGTCAACATTAGACAAACATATTGGTCCGATTATTTATAAAGGAGTTTGGGCCATGCAAATTACGGGAGTTTCCCGGGAAAAATAACAAACCGGGAGGGGTCCGGGAGATAGGGCTAAAAAACAGGAGAAACCCGAGAAAAACGGGAGTGTTGACAGGTATGCATTTCACGCGAGTCTCAACGTGACCATACCAAGTCAACAATTTGATCTCACCATGAATCACTGAAGGAAAGAAAAACACAATAACTACAACTGACTTCTAGCCACAGCCTTTGATGAAATCATAATCAACGTGAATAATCAACAACAGCAATAATCATTCAATCACTCTGCATTTAATATTTTGATTTTGCTCTTATGTCGGACAGTACGTCTACAGATATGAGCTGTGATCTTCAGAATGAGTAGCATTTTTTAGTTTTTTATGCTGCTAACAAGGGTAACACTGGCCTTCAACAAGAATACAAACTTTCAACCAACTTAAAAATACCCAGCAGACTCACACTACTGTCTTTTTGTATTGTACATTCAACATATCATCAGCTTCAAAAGCCAACATGAGGATTCTGTGAGCACTCAAACACTCTTAAAACAGGCCAAACTGGACCTTTGTGTTGATGATGCAGAAACAGAAGAAAGTGCCTGAATCTGATGTCTTTGAAAGCATCCTTCAAACAGAGCTCAAGCCTGTGAGCGATGCAATGAACCCTTATCATCCATGGGGCTAACTGCTCCTGGAGTTGTGTAAGGACACCAGTTTTTTTTGCCAAAGTTGACACTGGCTCCACTGGCTGTTGCAGTCAGACAGCTGCTAAGGTTGAGCTGGTTTTCCTGACATTTCTGCAATATAGCATTAAATATCCCACGAGCATCAAAGGTGTCCGGCTCTACAATTCTGAAAGAAAAACATACATAAAAGAAAACATTTATTTACCTTAAGTCATTTAAATTGAGTCATATCTGTTGGCTTTGGGTGAAATGAGAAACGACTGCGTTATTTGATAAACAATTTATATTATCTATAAATCCAAAATATACTAAAACCAATAATGCAAAAGCCAGGTGCATAAATTGACACAAATCAAGTACATGGGTGCTACTTACCCTAGCAGCCTTATTCTTGGTGTCCCATTCTCAATAACCTTGATGCTGATCAGCTCTTTCTCCAATGTTGCTTTGTCTGTGGTCCCATCAAATAACAAAGAGCAGTAGAATGGCTTCTTTGTAATCAGGTCATGGAGCTCGTCTTTCATCGTCCCAGCGATGTGTTGTATAAAAACTTGACAGGCTTTTGAATTTTGATATGTAGCTCCTAGATCCACACCATGCTTCTTTTCCATTCCCACTGAAGTTCGGAACTGTCTGAAAGATTGTTTAGAATATGCAATATTGCAATATCAAACAATTTCAACATCTTGTCTTTTGACACAGTTAACCACCAGATCCTCCCGTAAACCCTCATTAAGATGGGCATCTCAGGAACTGAACTCCAGTGGATTAAGTCATACCTCTTCAGGGTGTCTTGGAGGGGTGAGATGTCAAAGTCACAACATCTACCAACTGGGGTGCCTCAGGGCTCAGTGCTTGGACCACTTCTCCTCTCCATTTACATGTCATCACTGGGATCTGTCATCCAGAAACATGACTTGTCCTATCACTGTTATAATAAAGACACACAACTCTACCTCTCATTCCAACCTGAGGATCTAACAGTAGCTGCTCGCATCTCAGCCTGTGTGACTGACATTTGCTGGATGAAGGACCATTACCTTCAT